CAAGGGGGCCCCCCTTTCACGTATGAAGGAACATTTACCACTTAGAGATTATTCATAATGGTACAAATATTATATATAATGCTTATCACATTAGAATGGTAAAAATATCTGTCCAGGGGGCAGCGGTATACTTCCCTTTACGATTTCATTTTTTGCTTGTTTATTTCTAATTTCTAATTGATTATTTATCATTTCTCATTTGTTTGCTATATTTTCTATTTCTACTGCACGTATAATATTGCAGATCGCTTCCTTGATTGCATGATTTGCAAATTTTGCTCAAAAAGGGGATTTAAAGTCGGGTAACATGGAATGAACCTGTTTTGTAATAAATATGATATGCTCTCTAGTCACGTGGGTTTAACTCAGTGTAGACTTGTCAGTTATCACCATGACATTATTTAGTATCTATATATATATGTTTTATACTAGAGCTAAATCATATATTTACAGATAGGTGTATGTGGGCATTTATATAAGACAACATAACAAGGTGTTTACTTTTAAGGTAAGTTTGCTATTTTTAATAAAAGTCTGCGTTATGTAGAAGGGTCCGATTTGATTTTTTTTATTTTATTTTTTTTACCAAGGCAAAAAATGAAAATTTAAACTAGCTTAAACTTTCCGTGATTAAAAAGCATCGTGACTGAATAAATAATATGGTCACCACCCTCCTTTTTGATTTTTAAGTCTCTGCAATAAACTTGCTCATATAAAAAAATGTTATTGTATCAATCCTACAATATTATAATGTAAAATTCATTTTTAAAAAAAAAATAACAGAAGTGGTGTGATGTGCCATTTTAATAATAACAGAAATCTTGAAATGGGTCATTATTAACTATAACAGAGATGTTTTAAAATTGTGCCGTTTTAAATAATTTATAACAATCAATAATTAGGAATTCAAGTTTAAGAAGCTTTTGCAATCGACAACTTTGATGTTTATGTTTATACTTTTTTTTATCTTTTTACGTTATAATTAATATGGGGAATGTTGAATAAATATTCAGACGATTACTTTCGGGAACTCACCACAATTGTGATGTACTGAAAAACGACGCGAACGCTTTCCGAGATGGACCGGACGGCTAATTTTATTGTATTGTTTACGCTATTTGTCTCGAATTCATTTTTAAGTTGTATTGTTATTCGAGAATATAAAGGCAGAATGATTTATGTCGAGTAGGATCGTTAAAAAGTTTTCCATTTTGATCTAAGCTGTTTGCAAAAAAGACAATTAGATTAGACCCGGGGAATTTTCCCCAAATACGAAATGAACGACGAGTGGTTGAATTATCCCAAACTTCCAAGCCCTCCAAAATAATCTGCAATTTTGATTTTTGAAAAAATTTTGTTTTTGAAAAATAAAATAAACTATTGTAACAAGAAACTTATCCTCCGTGCCCCAAAATTTAATATCTTCTTTTAGGGGTTCCTGAGATTTGGGATAAACGCTTTTTTTTCGAAACCTTTTTGGAGCGAAAGGGGGGAAGGGTGGGAAAAAAACACTCACTTTTTGGGCGCCAAAAAGGGGAATATTTATTTGGCCCTATTAGGAGGAAGTGAACAAAACTAAAAAATCCTGTAAAAAAAAAAAGCTTTTGAAAAAATTTAAAAAAATTTTCTTTAAAGTGGGAAATTTATAAACGTTTCAACAAAACTTTTAGGCCCTAATTTAAAAAAGTAATAAGGGAAAACCCTAAAAACCCTTTTTTCTGCCGTAGGGTTCCATATTTTTTATTCCAAAAAAATTTTGGCGTTTGCCCCCATTGATTCATATCAGGGGCCCCATACAGGGGAGGCCATTTTATTTTGGAGGGGTTTAAAAATTGGGAAGTTTCTAAAAAGGTTTTGTTAAGAGACTACAAAGAGTAGTTTATTTTGTACAAGGGCAAGTTTTATGATGGATTGATATTTTTCTCGTGCTTTTTTTCAAGAAATCCGAAGTGCATAGCGTGCTCATGGTTTGAAGTTATTCAACAAATCAGTGTTCACTACGCCGGAGGTCCCGGGTTTGATGTTGTTTTCTTTTCGCTACAGCTTACATCATTGGAAGTCTTCAACAATCCTACACGGAACTGTATTGGTCGATTAAAAAAAACTCGAAGTAATTATAAGACAAAAACATAAACAAAACTTGCAATTAGCCGTTGAAATCGGTCTTCGGCTCTATCTTAGATATGCCTTTATGTCGACAGAATCTTTATTTCACAGTGAAAATTATCAAAATATAATTTCACAATTTTTAATGAAGAGACTATTTCTAAAAGATTTTCCCCATGTGTAATAAGTGTCACACTGAAAAAGTTTTTTTCTTCATGAAATAGAAAAACTAGTTACACATTCTTACCTTTTACAGGAGACGATGCTCCATTTTTAAACTATATTAGCTTTGTAACACTGCACTTTGCTTTGGGGTCAAACGCTCTTTAGGATCCGAACCCAAAGTGTGATAAACTTCACAGCGCACTTTGGGGTCAAAACCGAAATATTGAGCTCAAAGTGCGTTGATCTGCTACATAACAACGCACTTTGGATTCCAGAGTTCTAAAGGTGTTAACTGAGTTCTGTTTAAATACTGAGTACTGACTTATTGCTTATTTGCGACATTGAAATATTTGAGGTTGAAATCAAGATGACGGTCGATACAATGTACGTATAAATATCACAGTGCAATATTACCAAGTGCAATTTAAATTCTGATGTAGTAGTAATAAAAAAGATGTGTTTGATTCTTTAGTGTTAATTAATTATTAATTTAACTTCTTAATTTTTTTTTTAAAAAACTGTGACCAAATAACAAACTACTATTGTATATGGTGGCCGGTTGCGGCCATTATAAACACGCTTTTTTATCGTTAAATGTAGCGGGCAACTTACGAACCAACAAGATTTCTATCGAAAAACATACAAAATGTCGCGGGGAACGTATAAACAGTTGTTGAAAACAGCAATGAACATTTGACTCCAGTGGCCGGTAGCGTTTATGGTTTCACTGTACATTTTATCCCTCGTGATGGCTACAGCTGCAGTTCATTTCAAGCCTAATTCACAATCTTCGATATTCCTAAATATTTGTACCACTTGATTTTGCTAAAGAAAACGCACAGTCACAAAGAAGAAAAATCATTAAAATTCTAGAACAAAGTTTGTAAAACAATTTATATATCATCTACATGATCATGACAAGTTAATGCATTACAGTAAATTTTGGTTTCCATCCCGTTAATCCTTATGATTTTACGTTTGTCATGTACCAATCATGTTATTTTATCTGCTGCTTAAGTAACTGCTGCGATAAGTAAATTTAAACTTTTCTTAAATTACTTTAATATGTCCGCAACGACTTTTTCGTGATTTGTGGCCATTATGGATGCCGTCCTGAGACTTAAATAAACTGATCGGAGTAAAATTTAATGTTAACAATAATTTACAGCAAGAGACGCTTTACATTTAACATAGAAAGAACTATAATTAACTAATTAAGAAATATAAGCCCCATAAATAAATAATAATAGGGTTATCCAGACTACTACTCAACAGGTCCTATCGTAAAAGGGAACTGGTTTTTAATTAGATGGAAATATGGGTGACATGCATAGTCTCTATAATTATCGGCACACAATGCTTGTTCAACGGTAAAGCTAAAATAATATGTTATTATCTAATCATCATTACACACAATACACATCATACATAATTATACTCTAAGACCACTATCCTATGAATATAAAACATAATTATAATAAATTGCTAATTGCAACCCTAAGATATAACAAATCTAATTAATCTATCGTCTGCTATTGTTAGCTCGTCTACTTCGTTCCTTATTTTTAGTTAACAATTGGCATTAACTACGAGATTTTTTTTTTCAAATATCATTAAAATCCATTCTTACTGATTTAATTTTTATGATCCCAAAGTGTGGTCGTTCGTCTGTTGAAAAAATGCATGTGTAGATGTTTCACGCACTTTGGGGTCAAACTTTGACACCAAAGTGCGTAACGCTAAACCCAAACAAAGAACATTTAAATATATACATAAATATTGGAATTACTTTGTAAAGTTTATAACTATTAAACTTTGGTCATCCAGGCATCGGTTGTCAGTTTACGATTTTCTTTTAACCTTTTTACCGGAAGTCATAAAGCCTTTTATATGTACAGTGCATGAAAAACATATGACCCACTTAATAAAATTACATGACGGAATGAACATAAATAACCCGACTCATTAGACAAGAGTATTAAAATGTGATAAATCAAAGTCAAAATTATATTCACTTAAAAAAGAAGAAGCAATCATGCAGTATTATAATAACCGGTATTAAGAAATTTTTCTGATATAAGTAATTCAAGTATTTCATTCACCTTATTAAGATAGGAAATTAATCTTGGTTAAATATTTTTTCTTCCTTTTAGTTTGTCATTGGTTACATGAGACTATCTCTCAGTCAGATTGGTAATACACGTTTGAACATGTCTCTAATCTTTTGCATAACTTCCTCATTTTTAATTTTAATTAATGTATAGTATAAACTCATTAAGACAGTCTTTTTGAACATTTTCAATGGTTTCTAATTGCGGATTTTGTAAAGAATGAAGGTTTTGATGTATTTCAATTGTACGAAATGACAAATTGGTTAAATACGATAGGTAAATTTAATACTTACAAGAAAGATTATATTAATGGCTGTCAACTTAAAAAAAATCAAAATCTGAAATATAACTCCACAAAAGTTGAAGGCATTATCGTATATATACCGGTATGGATCAAACTTGTGGCGTTAGTGTAAGTGAGATATTATTTCTGCATTATATGAAGCGAAAACATTATAAGAACGGAAAAAAATCAATAAAATGCGTTTTCATTTTTGCTTAAAAGGCTTGATAAAGGGAGAAACATAAAAGCCGCATATACAAGAAGCCCCTTCAGTGTTAATTGGCAGTTTGAAAACTGTTTTTTTCTTCTAAGTGTATAGTGACAAAATCACGAATAGTGTAAGAATTTTATGTATATATCGCAAATGACGTAACGTCTAAGTGTTGTTACACTAATGCAATACCATTTTAAGTAAATTGGTTTATTGTTCTCCTTCGCCAAGCGTTATGTGATAAAAATATAATCATTATTTGATGAAAGCTTTCACCTTATGTTCAACTCTATACAATTTCCCATGTTTGTTATAAGGACACAATGTTTTAAAACGATGTATTTAGGCCACGATATTATATTTTTTTAAACTAACAACAACATATGTTAGGTGCTTGAACAGGGGACTTGTAATCCGCATATTGATGGTGATGTTATACCGGACGTCAGATTCTTTTTTTTCCGTTTGCACAAATTGCACTGACGAAACAACTGGATAAAGTCACCTGGCGTGATGTAAAGCCTGGAATTCATTACAGAAGCTGATCTTCCAAGTTTTAGTAGGTTTTAAGTTCAGTGATAGGTCCAAATATTTTATATTTATTGATTAAAATGTTCATATAACTTGTTCAA